CAACTTCAAGGCCCAGTAGTCCGACAGCGTCACGTCGTCCACATCTGAATCCTCATCGCCTGACTGCTCCTTCTGGGCGGCGCTGCCCCCTGAGCTCATCGCCCCATCGCCGCCTTCCCCGGTCCTCCACTCGACGCTGCGAACCCCACACTGGAGCCCCCTTAACAACGTCAAGCTTGGGCCATGTGAGGTCCACCGGAGCCGCCCCCCCCCCTCCTCTCCTCTCGCCCCCCCATCGGGATTCCACCTTCGCACTCGCCCCCTCGCCCATCCCCACTCGAAGTGCACCCTCGCCCACCTCCCCCCCCTCTGCATCCTCCCCCTGCATCGTTCCTCAGCATCCGCAGCGGTATCCTCCCGCCCCGTCGCCTGTCTCATCAACCTTCACCCCGATCTGCCCCGTCGCAAACAAAATCAAAAACAGAGGCGCGCAGGCTGGAATCCTGAGCGTCACTCTCGAGCTTCTTGGCGCGCAGCTGCCAGTCCCTGCGAGTGCATCGGATGGCCTTCGCGCTCAGGAACCTGGCTCGCGGGTCGCGGGAGGCCGGCGGCGGTGGCGAGAAGACAAAGACGAATGAGAGGGTGGCCGCATCGTCGCCACTTCATATATTGAGCCTTCGTTCAACCTGACCCTCCCGACAGAATGGAATGCCTCGATCGAGCTCTCTTCTCGATCGTTCGAGGGGCTCATGGGGGTTGAGGGCTCAAGGGGTGGAGGGGGTCGCTTGAACCTGAGCTCGCCGCGTCGTTTCCCCCCCCACGCGCGCCCCCTCGCCTGCGCCCCCAGCCCCCCCCCCCCCCTCTCGCCCCGCCTCAGCGTCGGCTTCGGCCTGGGACCTGGTGCCCTCGAGGGCCTGCTTGGCCATCCTCTTGTGGCGCTTGTCCTTCCAGGCGATCTTGGCCGTCTCGCTGAAAGCAGCGCCCCGTGCAGCCTGCGGGCATGTCCCCCGAGATCTGCCCCTCGCCCTCTCACTCTCACTCTCACTCTCCCTCTCGCTCTCACTCTCACTCTCGCTCCCGTTTTCGTTCTCTCTCTCTCTCTCTCTCTATATATATATATATGTCCCTCTCCCTCCCTCTCTCTCTCTCTTTCTCTCTTTCTCTCTTTCTCTATGTATATATTGTTGTGTTTCTCTCTCTCTCTCTCTCTATATATATATATGTATATCCTTTCCCCCCCATATCCCCCCTCTCTCTCTGATTCGTTGTGCTGTTGATGCTGGGTGTATTTTCGATCTCTCTCTCTCTCTCTCTCTCTCTATCTCTCTCTTCTTTTCTCTCTCTCTCTCTCTCTCTCTCTCTCACTTTTTCTCTCTTCTCTCTTCTCTCTCTCTCTCTCCTCTCTTTCTTTCTCTCTCTTCTCTCTCTCCTCTCTCTCCCTCTCTTGGCTCACTCCCCCCCCCCCCCCCCTCTGCCCCCTCTCCCCCAGCGCACGCGCGCGCGTCGCTATGGAGAGCCCGAAGCCAATGCATCATTCGGCAGAGTGAGAGATGATAGAGAGAGCGAGAGAAAGAGAAGCAGGAGGAGAGATCTCACTGACCTCACGCCCCGCCCGCAGTCGGGGCCCCGCTGCCCCGGCGGCCCCCGTTCCTCCTCCTTCCCTTGCTCTTCCAGTGAGGCTGATGGCGTCTGCCCCCCTCGGGCCCCTCGGCCGCCTCCATCGTCTTCTGGGTGAATGTCTTCTTCTCGTCGATGCTGTCGAGGGCCTCCAGGGCCATCCGCCGCGCCTGCCCTTCCCCGCGCCGAGATGGAGTCCGAGGGTGGAGATCGGATTAGGCCGGGCGTTGCCAGGGGGCAGAAGGGCACGGGGGCGGGTGGATCGGCGCGCCAGACGAGGGGGGGTCGAGGGACTGAACGCGAAGGCGGCAACGGCGCCGAGAACGAGACGCACAGACGTGGAAGACGGCAGGGCAGGGGGGGAGGAACAATATGATGGTCGCGGAAGAGGAGAAAGACCACGCACGACGTAGGAGAAGATGCGAGATCGGAAAGGAAGAAGGAGTAGGGGAGAGATAATCACAGCGAGAAGAGCAGTGACCCCTGTGGGGAAATGAAAGGACCAGGGCACGGTGCAAACTCAGGAGGCACGCGACGCACGCGCAGGAGATAATCCCGTGGAAACCTAGCAAGTAGGAGGCCACGGGGTAAAAAGGCGCGCCCGTGGACGAAGGAGTTTGATCATACAATGGGCGAAGGCGGCATCGACGATTGCACGATGATAAGCGCGAGCAAAATTCTGCTCGCGTTTGTCATTCCGCGGTCGCCGACGGGGGCAGGAGGAACATCGAGGAGGGCAATGTGATCGGCATGGGGGGGGGGGGGGGGGGGGGGCTCGATCACCACCCAGCGCGCCTCGAGCTGCGCGGGGTCGGGGCGCGAGCAACGGCGCTGGCTGAAGTCGGGCGCGTTCGTGTCTGCGCTTATCCTCCTGGCCACCCGACTCCTCGATATCATATTTGACTCATCCTCTCGATAATATTGTTCCCCGCTCTTCCCCTGTCACTTTTCTCGCCGATCCGGCCCCCCCCCCCCCCCCTTCAGTTGGGGTCTGCATATCGCCGCGGTCACTGGTCGCTCGCCCTCGTCCTGCTCGTTCTAATCGCGGTCACTCGCCCTCTTCGCTCATCGCGGCAACTCCCCTACCGGCGCGCCCATGTGCACCTCGTCATGATAACTCGCCCTCCTCCTCGCTCTCCAATCGTCACCTCGCCCTCGCCCTCAAATCCCCCTCCCCCTCCTATCCCTTTCTCCTAAGTCAGGCCACGGGTGAGAGTGGCCGCTGGGTCGCCCACGCGCCCGCGCTGAATCTGGATTGCCTGGGCGAGAGCTTGGGCGAGGGGCGCCACGTGGGCATTCCTCCTCCACGAAGCCTCGATTATACGCCCACCCTTTGTTTATATATTTCTCTTTCTCGTTCTCTTTCTCTTTCTCTTTCTCTTTCTCTTTCCCTTTCTTTATTTCTCTCTCTCTCTCTCTCTCTCTCTCTCTCTCTCTCTCTATATATATATATATATGTATATATCCCCCTCTCTCTCTCTCTCGCTCTCTCTCTCTCTCTCTCTCGCTCTCTCTCTCTTTATTTCTCTCTCTCTTGCTCTTCCTCACTCCCTCGCTTTTGTTCGACCTCCTCCCCGACGTTCATGTTCTCAAGTTTCCGATGCATGCCCCGCCCTGCCAGCTGCTGCTTCCGGGCGCCGTTGCTGCAGCCCGCCTTAGAGCGCCCTCTGTCAGGTGGTTGGTTTGTTTTGTTTTGTGGTCTCTCTCTCTCTCTCTCTCTCTCTCTCTCTCTCTCTCTCTTTCTCTCTCTATCTCTCTATATCTCTCTCTGTCTCTCTCTTCCCCCCCCCCCTGTATGCGCGCGTATACGTGCCTATATATGATATACATGATATATATTTACATACATACATACATACATACATATACAAATACAAATACAAATGCAAATACAAATACATATACATATACATATACATATACATATACATATACATATATGTACACATGCACACATACACACATATATATATATATAGATATGTATATATATATATATATGTATATGTACACACACGCATCGCGATGGGGCGCTCTCTGGGGTCGCCTCGGCGACCAGCGCTGCCTCGGCCTTGCTCTTCACTGCGTTCCTGGGCGCCTGCTAGGCCCTGGGCCGGGGCGGGCAGGGGGCGCGGGGGGGGGCAGGGGGGGGGGGGGGCGGAGGAGCGCGCGCATAAGCCCAAGTAGCTGGGGAGACGACGAGGAAGAATATAACGGGGCGGGCAATCCAACGAAATGCTGCGCGCTAGACGGAAGGGGGGGCTGAGAAGAGACGGGCCTGCTGGCCTGCTCGACCGCGCTGGTCGCGGCCGTGGCCGCCGCCGCGGCCGCGCGGCTACCTGCGCGGGGGGGGGCCGCAGAGCCGCGGGGCTGCGCGGGGCGAGCGCGGCAAGCGATGGGCGCGAACGCCGCGCGGCACGGCGCAGCCTGCGTTCAATTGATACATAAATATACTGACAATGTGAATGCACGGTTGGTTGACTTGAACATGCACGATGCCGCTAATGACTCGGCGATGGTGTTGCGATGGTGATGATGATGATGATGGTGATCGATATTCGATGATGACGCGGATAATGATGATGGTGACGATGATGATGATGATGATGATGCTGATAATGGTGAGTGGCCCAAATTGGTACATTTGGATCAACATTAAAAATCCAATGTTCAAGGCATTCGGGCATGCCCAAAATTGTGACAGCCCGATGTCTGGGCCCGTCTCTTCCCCGACAAAGTTTTTCTCTCTGGGCGCCCAATCGCAGGGGCAGCCTGGTCGGTGGCCCGGCGGCAGTGGAAGCGAACGCGCGCGCCCTTCAGGTTCGCCCCTTCGCCCGGCCCCAGCAGCCCGCCCGCGGCCGCCTGCGCGGAGATGCCGCGCCCCGGCAGCGCCAGAAAAGGCCGGCGCAAGAGGGGCAGCGGCGCCCATCGCCTCAGCGCGCGCTGGGCCCCCCTCGGGGAGGGCGCGCGGGTCTGGGGGTCCTCTCCGAAGGCCTTGGGCCTGACCGAGTCCCGGGCGCCTCCGAGCTGCTCTAGTAGCTCTGGGCGCCGCTGCTGCACCGCCGGCGCGGCGCGCCTGGCCTCTGCGATCGGCCTCTTCTCGTTGAACAAGAACTGCACACATTCGATTAGAGGCTTGACGACCCTGCCCTAGGAAACTCCTGGCAGCGAGCGGCCCGCCTTGCCCCGGCCATGTGCGCGAGCAAAGGCGGACTGGGACTGATCCGCCTTGACGAGCAGGGCAGCGCAGGCCAAACCACGCAAGCGAGTCTGAATATCACGACGTCGAGGGCGGCCGCCACTCGGGCCCTCGCCGGGGGGGGGGGGCCGGCGCGCCGCGCCGCCGTGTAGGCCTGAGCGGGCGCCCCGCAGCCCCGCCTGCATCGGAACATCGAAGCCGCCTCGTAGCGGCCGCCAGCGCGGCCGCCGGCGCCCGAGCGAACTCCGGCGCGCAGGCCGCCGCCAGCGCTGCCTGCTCCTGCCAGTTGCAATCCAGCGTGAGGGGCCCCTCCAAACGCACGTGCCTGCGCTCGGCTTGGCTAGCGCCCCCCCGGCCACCGCGGCCCCGGGAAGTTGCCCAGCAGGTGCGCGCCCTGCTTGCGCTTCGCACTCGGGCTGCCCAGCGGGCCTAGGCCAAGCCGGCACGCGTCGCGCTCCGCGAGGTGCGCGCCTCCATGAGCCATGAGCCCCCGCAAAGGCAGCTGCCGGAACGGCCGGGGGCGTCGAGGGTTCTCCGCGGCCCGCGGGCCGCCCTCCTCGCCAAGCGCAGCGAAGCCCGCGGCTGCGGAGTGCCCGAGGCCGTTGCCTCGGCGCTCGGCTGGCCCCGGGTCGTCGCCCCGAGGTCGGGATGCCCTCCGCGCACCCAGCCCGCAGTTCTGGCAGAGCAGTCCGAACGACGTGCAAGGGGTCGCCCATGCGACGACCCAGGCAGCGCGGGCTCTGATATGCCCCAGCTCGCGCCCGACGTTGGCCGCCAGCAGCAGGTCCCGATCGGGCCAGTTGCCCTCGAGCGGGCGGGCGTCGAGTGGAGCCTGGACCTGGCCTCGGGCGGCCGCTCGAGGGCGGGTCGCTGCGCCGCTGCCTGCGAGGTACTCGCGCTTCGCCCAGCAACCGGCTGCGCCTCGTGGAATGGCCAGCGGCAGCGGGCCACGTTCCAGCGCGCCTCCGGGCGAGCCCTCGGCCCCCTGCGCGCCGCTGGCCGCGGCCGCAGGCTCCGCGTCCGACCGCGCCTCAGCACCGGCTGGGCTCGCGCCGCTGCCGGGCGCTGCCTGCTCGGCCCGAGGGGCCGGCAGCTGGCTGGCTGCTGCTGGGCCGCGGCCCAGTCGGAGGGGGCAGTCGCCGCGCGACGGCTGGCCTCCGCCCAGGCTGGCGGTGGCCCTGGCTCAGGCACTGGTCGGAATCGCGAGGGGGCGTCTGCTGGGTCGAAGTGGGCCCCGATCTAGACCAGAGCGCCGCGCGGCAACGAATGGTCGACAAGTGTGGCATGATCGATCGCCGTTTACCATTTAGCATGAATGTAAATGTGCCCCCCTTGCCCAAACGCCCCCGCGCTCGCCCGGCAGTCGACCCCGCGCGCGAACGCGGAAGAAACGCTCATATCTTGCCCCCAAAGGTCGCCCGTCGCGTCGTCGAGCTGCTCCAGGAAGCCAACCTCGGAATGGCCCATGGGGCCCCTGGTCGAAACCTTCTGGGCGCCGCGGAGACCTCGCCGTCAGGTCTCACCTTTGAGGGCCCTCATTCCTGCAAGTTGAAAAGGCGATGCTTTGCAAATGTCCTTCCCCGCTGCAATCCCCAATCGAAGCTCGCGCAGGCCTCGGGCCCGCGAGTCCCACCGGGCGCCGGCGCCCAGTCTATCTCGTTCGAGTCGAGCCTCGCGCGCCCCCCTCTGCAACCCCCCAGACTGAAAGAGCGCTCTCGAGACCTTCGCGGGTGCCATTGCAGAGCAGGGCCCGCGCGAGTCCTCGGTCGCGTCGCTCGCCGAGATCTCGGCGCCCACGAGCCAGGCCGCGCCCGAGGAGAGGAGGGCGGGCGCGGCGAAAGGCTCGTCTCTGATATCGGCGTGGACGTCTGCCCACTCACGTTCGTTCCTGAAGCCCCCCGACCAAGCGGCAGAACAATGGGGGCAGCTGCGCATCTCGCGACGACCAATGCGCGGATGCACGTTGTTCGCGAGAACCACCCTGCACATTTATTTCGTGATCTTCGCGCTTCCAAGAACATGTCCAATGTGAGCGAGGCGAGGGCCCTCCGCCTGAACAACGGGCTGCCGACCTCGCACAGCCCGTCTCTCACCTCGGCGCCCCGGGCGACGCAGGCGGGCTGCTCCGCGACGCCCTCATCGACCAAGCGGGGCAGGCCGGTAACCTTCCAGGCCTGTTTGGCCCGCTCGTTGATCTCGCCGTCGCGGAGCCACTTGCCGCGCCCGCCGTCCGAGACATCGCCCGATGGTCGCCCGGGTAGTTGCCCTGCTCGGGCGGCGACTTCTTCGGGCCCCGTAACTTCGGCCGCCTTCCGGCGGCTGCCGCGGCCGGGCAAGGCGCCCCCCAATGGAATTCCGAAGCTTCTATCTTGGATCGGGCGGCCCGACGCTCCGCCCGACGCCAAATTGCAGCCGCCCTTGTCGCGGGGCGCCCCCGAGGCCCGAGGCCTGGACGAGGGCCCCCACCCCGCGGGCGAGCAGGTCCTTGGCCGGCGCCAGCTCGCGATCCTTCGAGACGCGGCGGCGTCTGCATGGCGAAGGCGAGGGTCGCGCCTCAGGCGCCGGGCAGCGGTCGACGTTGCTGGCGCGCCCGGCAATCAGCCCGCCCGCGAGGTGGTCGGCCGGGCCGCGGCCGGGCCCAGGGGCCTTCAACATCGCGCGGTCGGGCTGGACCTCCGACGCGCGCGCCGGCGTCTCCGCCGACGGCCCCCCAACGTGCGCGCCCCAACCAGGCTCGACGCCAGGGAGAGAGGTCGTCGCTCGCACTTCTCACCTGGCAGGGCGACCAATTCTGCGGCCAGCGTCAGTGGCCGAGCAAGTCCTCGCGTCGGCTGAGCGCCGCGCCCGACCGCGCGGCAGCACTCAGACACATCCCCGCAGAGGTTCTCCACCGCGACCCGCCGCGCCAGAGACCAGCAGAGGCCGGGGCAGACCGCAGCCCTGGGACATCCGCGCTTCCAGCAGGAGAAGAGGGGGACAAGCGCGTTCGCGAGGTGGCGGGCCCTCCCGGCCAGCCGCAACTGCGTCCAGCCTCTCGGGCCAGCCCGCCAAAGAGCTGCACGCGCTGCCGCGCTCGCGCAGGGCAGCGGCATCGGGGAGGGCTTCTCAGCATCTGATGAACTGGGCATCAGACTGCCCATGGTATATCTGCACAGCAACGTCGCACTGCGGTGCCAATGCCAAAACCTCCCAAACGGGCGCGCCCACGAAGATCCGGCCACAAAGCCAGAAGCGCCATCGCCCAAGGAGCGCGCCGGCACGCAGTCGCGGCGGCCCCGTCAAGCCCCCTTCTTGTTGCGCGGCTGCATCTCCTTCTTGCCTTCGCCCGTCGCGTCGCGGGCGCCCGCTCCCGCGTCGGCCCCCCGCGCGTAGCCCGAGTGGCCAGGACTGACTGCCGCTGCGCCTCGCTGCTTGATCTTCGCCTCGAGCGCCCCCAGCTTCGCGATGCGTGCTGCCGCCGCCTCCGCCTCGAGCTCGCCCCCCGCGACGCCGCGGCGGCCGCGGGGGTCGACCAGGCCCGAGAGAGGCCAGGCAACCTCCCAAGAGCCTTGGTCGATGGCCACCTGCTCGAGCGCTGTCATGATCTGGACTAGCTGCAATGCCCGCACGCCTCGTCGAACATCTCGTTGTCTATGTGCTCCAGCACAGCCGCGAGCATCGCGCGCGCCCTCTCCAGGCCGTAGAACTCGCCCCCTCTTGACCTCGCCGCGGAAGGCCCTGGCCACGCTCAAGAAATGGTGCTTCCCCCCCTCCTCAGACGTCGATTGCCTCGCGCGGCCTTGACAGCCTTGCCGGCGCTGCCCAAGCCGCCCTTCGTCTCGTTCTCGTCGGCCGACGGCCCGGCCTTGCCCCTTCCCCGTCTCGAGCCGCCCGAACACCTCCAGCATCCTCAGCGCAGGAGGCTCTGCTGTCTGTTCGGGTCTTGACCGCGCACCTCTGCCCCAGCTCGACCCGGCGGCAGCCAACCTCGGACGCAGAGCCGGATGAACTGTCGTCCTCGGCGGCGGGCTCGGTTTGGCGCAAACGCATCGCAAACCGCGCTATGAGCTGGTCGATCCCTGGTAGGCCCATACCGGCCGACCCAGCCCCAGCGCTTGCCCGCAGGCCAACAGCGGCTGCCGCCAGCCCCGCGTTCGACCCGCCCTGCGGCTGCACGCGGGCTGGCCCTGCGTCGGCGTCCTCGGTCGAGTTCAGGAGGCAGCCGCCCGCCGTCGCCAAGCCAGACTGCAGCCTTTCCAACTCGACTCGCGCTCTCCGAAGCGCATTCACTGTAGTCGCCCAGCAATGACTTCGGGGGCTTCGCCTTGAGCCTACAATTCGGCACCACTACGTAGCCGACCCGCACGTCAGCTCCACTGCGGTCTGCCGAAGCCGCCTCGCACGCAGTTCCACCCGCGGCTCTGACAGCGAGCGCGGGGGTCAAGCGAGACGTGGTTCTCGTGGCCCTTGATCAAACGGCCTCCGACGTCGACAGTTTGCACGCGGCCGCCCTCGCCGCCCACGACGCGTGCGAAGGCCAGGCCGAGCGGGGCCCAGGCCATGGCATCTGCGCCCGCGCAGCTGTGCTTGAGGCCCCCACTTTCCCCAGCCTGTCTCTGCCGCCTCCCGTGGGCAAAAACGCATCGGTGGTTGGGGGGGTGAAATCGTAGTGGAATGGGATGCCCCAACCGGGAAATCGTTTCGTCTCGCTCGCGCCGCGCGCGCGGGGGAGGCGAAGTGGGCGCGCGAGATAAATGAACCCGCCACTGCCAGGGCGAAGCCAAGACAAATGATCCCCCCCCCGCCCGCCCGCCCGTCCGGCGGTAGCTCGCGGCCCCCCGCGGTGCCCCGCGGCGCCCCGTAATGTCCGCCGCTGCTAGGGCGAAAACAAGACACATGATTATCCCCCGCCCGCCCGCCCGCCCGACCGGCCGGCGGTGGCTCGCGGTGCCCCGCGGCGCCCCGATGCGTGAGATCGATAGTGAGATCGATCGTGTAATCGATAGTGAGATCGATACTGAGATCGACGCGGTGCCCCGAGGGAGGCGCCCCGTGGTGCCCCCGAAAACTGGCATCGATAATGAGATCGATGGTGAGATCGACAGGTGCCCCGTGGTATCCCGTTGCGTCCCGTTGAATGAGATCGATCGCGAAATCTATAGTGATATCGGTACTGAGATCAATGCGGCGCCCCGAAGTGTTCCGTGGTGTCCACAGAAATCAAATCGATTGTGACATTGATAATGTGATCGACAGGTGCCCCGCGGTGTCCAGTGGTGTCCCGTGGCGCCCCGTTGCGTGGGATCGATAATGAGATCGGTAGAGAGACCGATCGTGAGATCGACGTGGTGTCCCGAAGTGCCCCGCGGTGTCCTATGGTGTCCCGTTGAGTGAGATCGATCGTGAGATCGATGGCGAGACCGATAATAAGATCGAGAGGTGTCCCGCGGTGTCCCGTGGTGTCCCGGGGCCCGGCCGCCCCCCCCCCCTCCCCGCCCCCCCCCCCCCCCTTCGCCGCGCCGCCCCGGACTCCGGAGCCCCCCGACCCCCGCCGCCCCTACCCGCAGTCCCCGCCCTAACCCAAAGCCCTAGCCCTAACCCCAACCACTAACCCCAGTGCCAAGGAGTACTCACTACTCATTACTCACTACCCACTACTGACTATTCGCTATTCGCTACTCACTTCTCCCTGCCCCCTACTCACTACTCAAGACTCACTACTCACTATCCACTACTCACTACCCAGAACCCACTACTCGCTACTTACTGTTCCCTACTCACCACTCCCTCCTCCTTACTCACTACTCACTACTCACTCCTCGCTACTCACTCTTCAATACTCACTACGCACTAAGCACGACCCACTACTCCCTACTCACTAATCACTACTCATTACCCACTACCCACTAATCCACTACTCACTACTCATTGCCCACAAATCACTACTCACTACCCACTACTCGCTACTCGCTACCCCCTATTCCCTAGACCATACTGACTACACAGTGCTCAGTACTCACTACTCGCTGTTCCCATACGTGCTTCTCAATACTCACTACTCACTCCCCGCTACTCACTACTCACTACACA